TGGATTTATCGGGATTTTGACTACGTGTTCTTCAGCTGCATTAGCCAGCCGACCCTTTTATATCGGCTAGCTCAGCTTGCTAAGCCAGCTTAGCCGCGGCTGCCTTAGCCGGCTTACAACACTACACCCTACCCTTAAAGTTGCAAATTTCATAAAATTTAGCTTTCTACATCTTTCGTTTCCTTCCACTTTTTTCTTTTTTTTTTTTTAACCAACAATTTTTACTTTTCGTTAGAAACGTTAATCATTAAAAAAAGTAAAAAAGATATATAATCAAAAACAAATATAAAAACTCCGAATCTGAAATCTGGGCAATAAACGTGAAAAGATAGTATGAAAGTATAAATACCGTAATCCTCCAAAAAATAAGCACCCTTTTTTTGCACTTAATGCTGGCCGTGATTGTCGTAAAGCGGGCTAAAGAGGAATACGGTAAGAACCGGTGAATAAATCGATATTTTGATTGGTTTATCTGTGTATATCGATCGCGTCCCTGATTCTTTCACGTGATTTTGTAATCTTTTATTATCTATTATAAAAGCTGCGATCTGAGATCGTCCCATTGTTCCGCATTGATAGCAAAATGTCATCAGCCAATTCATATTTATCACGATTACTAAAAATGTGGAAACAAGCACGTTTCCCTTGGCGTCAACGTGTATTCGTAGGCTCAGACTTATCTGGAAACGAATATTATGAAAGTAATCTTATTAATGGACGAAAAAAACGGACGGTCGAGATGAAAGAAAAGAAGCCTCTAGGAGAATATGATAGCGATTCTTTGCCTGGTATAGGATAAGATTAAAGTTTGTCCTAAGACATTATCAATTGACAAATTGAAGTGCTTATCCAATTCTATCATTTGATTTCAAAGTGCAATGGCAAAGTTGGTTAAGACATACAAGATTTGAACCTCCTACTATAGAGGTATTTTCATTGAATAGCTAAGCGAATTTTAATATTAATTGATTAATTTATGTCGCATTTTTAAGGAAATTATTATGGCTAACAAACGAAGAGAATTAATTATTCAAAGGGCAAAGGCTTTGGATAAAGATTGGGAACGGGTATGAAATTGAAGAATGGCCATATAAACTTTATCACTATTTTTATGGCTTTCAGGGTGATTCTTCATAAAGTTGAAGATTTTTTTCATCATATATATGTAGAATTGTTTATCTACATATATATGCAGTGTATACAGTCGATACTCTCCATAATGGACTCTTGATATAATTAAACATAAAGTTTTATATTTTTTTAAGAAATAATTTTATATTACAAACTTTATTGTTTTAAACCATCGGTTCATGGGAGAATGTTGACTATTATATGTTGTGAGAACAGAATTTAAATGGATTTGGATTCTTAAGATTTAGGGTTGGGCAAAGATTTACATAAATAAATTTCACCCTAAAGCTCTAATTTTATTAAAAAATTCTAAATCCGCTTAAATTCCGTTCCCACTTACAACATATGGGGGCTTTTCAATAGAAAGGGGGAGATTTCTTATAAGTAAAAGTTTTATAAACTTTAAATTAAAATATCTCAACAACTATTAAACTAAATTTAATAAAATTTTTTTTATTTTAATTCTATAAAATTATAAAGTTAAAAAAAAAATTTTTATTAAATTTAATATAGTAGTTATTGAGATATTTTGATTTAAAAATTAAAAAAAAGTTACTAAAAAACTTTCCCCCCCTTTTCTATTGAAAAGCGCCCATATATATATAATTTATAAAAGTTATTAATAAAATTTTCACATATATCTGCCTGCCTGTCGAATTTCATTTGTGAAAACTGGATCAAAAAAGATTTCTGACTTTACTCTTATTCATATCCAATTTTTTAGCGCAAAGAAGAACTATCACGGGAAAAAGTATCTGATAAATCAACATCAGCAGAATTTGAAGGTCAAGATGGTATTGTATTTAAATTTTATCATATACAATATGGGAGCGAAATAATTCGTCATTTGTTTTTATACGCAGTAACAAGTTATATATAGGTAGTTTATAGCTGTTTTCAAAAAGGTGTATAACCAGGTATAAACCACGAAAACCACGTGATTTCCCTGATTTCCTTGATTCCGCGAATAAGGGAATTCAAAGGGAAATCGAGGAAATCAAGGAATTCATGTGGATTTCCCATAACATAATGGTTTACAACTGGTTGCACCTTTTTGACAATAGCTGTAATTAAATAGTGAAATACAGAAAAAACAAGCGTCGGATTACTTTTACCACCTCTATATATATCAGCGATTCATTTTTTTCTCAAATATTATCAATACAAGTCTCTTAAATTACTTAATTTGTGTAATTAAAAAAAAACAGCACAGAAAAAGCCAGCTCAAGAAATTCCATTTCGACCTCCACCCATACCTAGTGGCACCTTTGAACCTAAATCTTGGGAGCCTGGGGTTGCAAGGAAATAATTGAACACTTTCCTTATACTATATCACCACAGTTAGTATGGTAAGGAAAGGATAGTATGTAAGTCTTTGTTTTTACATTATTTTCATCCAAGCATCTTCTGTATATGGATTATTGAACAGCATCAATTATGAGTTCATTTATCATTCCATGAACTATCATTGCTATAT